CGTGTTCAGCAAATGACAGCATTCGAATTCTTCTGTCTGCCTTGGAGTAGGGTTTCTGTCTGTGCGAGGGAGGAAGAGGGGATGAGAGACAAAGTCTTAGAGAGAGCCACTGACTGGGGGAGGGCTGGCAGCTCCAGGAGGCAGAAGTGTTTAGGTTCCTCTGAGGACAGGATACTGTGACTCAGGCTTCTCTACCCAGACTCACCCAGTGACAAATAATACAATATACTGCCCCTCAGAGACCCAAATTTATACACACACGCGCGCGCGCGCGCACACACACATACACACACATGCACACACACACACACACACACACACAGAGCTATTACCTGAGCACATCAGTCCTTGGTATGATGCCAGTCCCTATTTTCCTCACCCCTCCACCACAGTTTCCTGGGGGCCTACTGGACACCAGGTGCCAGGCTAAGGCATAGGGTGTGGGGCTGACTCCAGGGTGCTCTCCCTCCTAATCCTGGCAGGAGGGTGTGAGCAGGAAGTTCACATTTTCGTGTTCCTGCTGAAGATGGGTGTCATAGCCCTTGCTCTCTGTCCCTCTTCCTTCTGTCCCCTGCCTCACTCTGCCTTTCTCCTTCTGTCTCCTGCCCGCTGTAATGAGTTCAGTGTTGCCAAACGCCCACTTGGCAACCACTTCAGGGAAAGATTGTGGCAGTGTAAAAAAAAAACACAGAGGAAACAACCGAGGGGCTGCAGAAACATCCTCAGCGAGGGGATGGCTGCAGGAACCAGCAGCCTGTCCCTCACTGAGGTGGGAAATAGCTTCCCAGGCGCTCAGTTTCTTTAATCCTCTAACAACGGAAGCAGGGAGCGGCGCGTTGGGTAACCCAAGGCTGTAGGAACAGCTGTCTCTGTCCAGTCAACATGAATCCAGGTGGGCCATGTCCAGGGCCCACACGTGGATCTAAAAGGCTGTGATCTACACAGCTGAATGAGGGGATTCCTGGAAGCACTGAGTGACGCCTAACTTCCTCTCGTGGCACGTGAGTGTGAAGTGCATAGGTTCCCACAGGCAGTGTCTTCACACTGGCTACAAGGTGAGCTTCCTAAAGTGTGGAGTGAGCTCAGGACACAGCAGGGTCGGCAGGGTGCCTGCCTAGCATGCAGGCGGCCCTGAGTTAAGCCAGGTGTGCGGTGCATACCTCCAATCCCAGCACTTGAGAGGCAAAGGCAGGAAGATCAGGAGTTCGAGTCCGTGTTTAGTACATGGTGAATTTGAGGCAGCCTGGGCTACCTGGAGACACTACTTCAAAAAATTAAGAGACTAAAATGTAGTAATCATGAAACCTCAGTGAGTTCTGTGCCATTAGCAGGGCCCTGGCACTGGGGACCCTTGTGGCCTGGCTCCCCCCCCACACACACACACACTTCTTCTGCCTGCTGGCCTGGCTCTTCCTTCCTCTGTTGTGCTTTTTCCAGGGAGTTATCTACTTTTCCTAGACTGGCTTTGTCAGCTCCCTGAGAAGCCCTGTTTGATCTCTCTCCCCAGGCAGTTTTAGACCCTCCACTGCACTGGACGGTGGCGCACACCTTTAATCCCAGAATTCAGGAGGCAGAGGCAGGCGGATCTCTGTGAGTTTGAGGCCAGCCTGGTTTATAAGAGCTAGTTCCAGGATAGGCTCCAAAGCTACAGAGAAATACCAAAAATTAAAAATAAGAATAGACCCTCCACTGCTATAGGTTCCCATACTCCAGGGTCAGCAGGGTCCCCAAATCTCTTGACATTTTAAACCCAAATCTGGGACCTCTATGCAAGGGCTTGTCTCTGTCCACGTACTTGGTCTAATCATTCCAAAGCAAGAAGCAGGTAGATGCCCAGGTCCTGAAGTCCTAGGGCCCTCACAGCCCACCTCCCGTTTACCAACTGTGTGGTCTCAGACAAGTTAATTAACCTCTCTGATACTCAGTTCTCAGGTCTGTAAGACAACACAGAGCTTTACGGAATTGTTGGGAGAATTAAATCAGAGTGTGTGTGCATGTGCGTGTGTGTAAATGTACTGTGTGTGAGTGTGCGTGTGCATGTGGTAATTGTATTGTGTGTGAGTGTGTATGCATGTAAGTGTACTGTGTGAGTGTACATGTGTGTAAGTGTACTGTATGTGAGTGTGCATGTGTGTAATTGTACTGTGTATATGTGTGTGCTACTGTGTGTGAGTGTGCATTGTGTAATTGTACTGTGTATATGTGTGTGCTACTGTGTGTGAATATGTGTGTGCAATTGTACTGTGTGAGTATGCATGTGTGTGAGTGTACTGTGTGAGTGTACATGTGTGTGAGTGTACTGTGTGATGTGCATGTGTGTGAGTGTACTGTGGAGTGGCACATATAAGTGCTTTGTAAACCCTGTTAATACCACGTTGTTGTTAAGTATCATGAGATACATACCTTGGGCTATCATTGTCTAGTTAACATAGCAACTGTGGAGTTGCTTGCTTTCTCTCTTGGTTGACTAAAAATTCCCTGAAAACAGAGCGTAAATTATTTTTTCTTGTGTTCCTAGCACAGACAGTTAGGATGAACATATTTTAAATTACATTTATTTGCGTGCGTGCGCACATGTGCGTAGGATCTTGCCGAAGCATGCGTGTGGGGGTCAGTGGACAACTTCTAGAAATCAGTTCTCTCTTTCCATGATGCGGAGTCCTGGGGACTGAACTTCAGGTTTGGTGGCAACTGCCTTTTCCGGGCTGAGCCATCTCCCTGGCCCTGTTTTCTGTGAATGCAAGGACAGGAAGTGCAGTCCTGGATTCCTGGATGGAAGGATGGGTGCAGGGATGAAGGGTGGGTGGGCTGAGGGAAGATGACAGACTGACAGATGAGTGCAGACATGGATGGATGGGTAGATAAATTAACGGGTGGGTAGGTGGTTGAGGGTGATGGATGGACAGACGGATGGATGTTTGATGTCACAAGTGCATGGATTTTTGCGTTTTGCGTGCCTAGGAGGTGGTCGGTGCAGTAAGCACTGAGTTTCTGAATGAGTGGGGCAGCAGAACTTCCATGCTGCTGTGTGGCTCAAGGGCCTATCCCAGAGTCACGCTTCTGCTGGTGACCAATGGTTGGATACCCCTTGTGCTGGCTGAGAGCATCCTGTCGCCCCCTGCTGGTGGTAATATGAAACAGCATTGCCCAACAGTTAGCTACATCCTGTTTTTCCATCTGATGTACTGTCCAAAATCTCCAGGGCCACCTGTGACAACAGAGATGTTAGTTAGAAAGTCAGAACTTTTCATTGGTTCCCGGGAGAATTCAAATTCCTAATCTCCTCCTCCTCGAAGTTGCTGCAGTAGCTGGAAAGAGGTGGGCTCTTGCTTTGTGGCTACCTCTGCATTGCCAGGCAGTGTCTGGAGTACGTGGGGAGAGACCTAATCCAAAAGGCCAAGAGCTGTGGTTTGGCCAAGCAGGATGGCACTACCTATAATCCCAGCACTTGGGAAGTAGAAGCAGGAAGAATGGGGAGTTCAGGGCTAACCACACGAAACCCTGTCTAAAACAAACAAGCAAAAAATGTGTGGTTTCAAATTTCAGTGCTACCCCACTCATGCCTGAAGCTGTCACCTGTAAGACAGAGGAGGTCAGATGAACCTATCTACAGAGGAGGCTCGCCACTGAGCTGGCCACCTGGAGGCCCTCAGCAGATACCAATCACAGGGGTGTTGCTTCCTAAGCCTGCTTCCTTCTCTTCCCATTTCTGCCTCAGGCAGATGACTGCCTGTGGATTTGGTTCCTGCATCAGAGTGCACACCCTCAGGAGGTGTGTTTACCTCACATCTCCGCTGCAGCTGGGACACAGTTGGTCTCCCCAAATCTTCCTGGGGAAGGGCAGTGATATGAATGAATTTGGGCTCAGAAAGTCTCTGAGGTTTTCTTTAGACTCAAAGGAACCCACAAATCCATGTTTGTTAGACAAATATATTCGAAGCTTGTTTAGAAAGGGAGGGGCCAGCAGCTGGGGCTGCCCTGTTGGCAGATTCTACAAACAGATTCAACCAACCATGGGTAGAAAATAAATGGGAAATATGCCCAGGCCTGGGAGACGGCTCCGTTGGTAAAGAATTGGCCACATAAATGTAGGGACCTGAGTTCAGATCCTCAGCATGGTCGCTGGCAGAGTGGTGTTGCCAAATCAGCTTTCAGTAGTGACAAAACCCTGTCTCAAAACACAGTGGGGGGGGGGCTGGAGAGATGGCTCAGAGGTTAAGAGCATTGCCTGCTCTTCCAAAGGTCCTGAGTTCAGTTCCCAGCAACCACATGGTGGCTTACAACCATCTATAATGAAGTCCGGTGCCCTCTTCTGGCCTTCAGGCATACACACAGACAGAATATTGTATACATAATAATAAATAAATATTTTAAAAAAAACACAGTGGGGTGGGGGAGTGGCTGGAGAGACTGGCCAGTATCAACCTCTCCACACGCAAATGCTACACAACCAACACACACACACTCACACACACACACTCATGCACACACACAGTGTCCATACTGAATGTATAGAAAAGCTCTCCTTTGCCATTATTTTAAGAACTCTATAACAACTCTAGAGCACTGAAGTTCTTAGGTGTGCTAGGACATGTGACATGATTTGAAACATATAGGAGGGTGTGGGCAGAGCCTATAAAACCCTACCTTTGTACCCAAGATACTTGAGCCTCCCTGGGACCAAGGTCCTGTGGATTCTGGGGGACAGATGTGTACAAATAATGTATAAGAACTTGTGGTTGTCTGAGGTCAAGATTTCCCCCAAGCTTCAATTGCCATTAAAACTAAAACATTCCAATTCCCCTGTGTCAGAAAACGAAGGTAGGGAGGGCTCTGGAACCCCGGAGCCCATGCAACCCCTCACAGAGTGCTTTTTTCCGCAGTCGTTGGCTTCCAGCCCTCTCTGGGGCTCTTCATACTCTTTTGATGTTGCTCAGAACCTCTTTGCATTCTGGGTTTTGGTGTGGAACCCTCATGCCCGTGTCACTGCTGTTTTGCAGGTGGTAGCCCAGAACCCTGAAGCTTGACCAGATGGAGGCCTTCCAGCACGAGTGCCCAGAAGGTGGCACACAGCTTGGTCGCCCATCGAAGCTGGAGGAGAGGCCACTGTCAACGCCCATAGTGAACTAATCAGGCTCAACAGCCCAGAAGGGGCTAAGAAGGGGCCAGAGTGACCTACAATACTGGACTCCTCTCCCTTCCTCCTCACCAGAGTTCTTTAGCCATACTCTGGGGTGAGGAACAAGATGTGGGGAAAGGAGACCGCGTCTTGTAGGTCCCCTTTCTTGACGCCAAGCAGTTCACCTTGAGCTTGGGACTCAGAACCTCTGCCCTCCTCTCCTCTGGCCTCAGGCCAGCCTGCTTTCTGGCTACGGCGCGCCTCCAAGGCAGGAGAGAGCTCAGAGTACCACGCCCTTGGAGTTGCAAACTACGGTGTCCTGGGAAGCCACGCCCTCCTCGCCCCTTCCCAGCCATCAGCCCAGCCTGCCCTGAGCCAGTCCGGAATGATCCGGCTATGGCCAAGCTCTGGTTCAAGTTCCAGCGTTGTTTCCGGTATTTCCGCAGGAAACCCGTGCGCTTCTTTACCCTACTGGCTCTCTACCTGACCGCTGGGAGCCTCGTCTTCCTGCACGCGGGCTTCGTGGGCCAGCCTGCTGTGCCCCAGGATCAGGCCAGCCCTGCAGCGGGGAGCCCGGCAGAAGGAGCCGAGCTACCCTTCCTGGGTGACTTGCACCTGGGCCGAGGCTTCCGGGACACGGGAGAGGCCTCCAGCATCGCACGCAGGTACGGACCCTCATTCAAAGGCAAGGAGACTGGCGAGAAAGCCAAGCTGAGCGACTACGGAGGAGCCTGGAGCCGAGCCCTCAAGGGGAGGGCTGTCCGGGAGAAGGAGAAGGAAAAAGAAGAGGAGAAAGGTAAGAGCCTGGGGGGGACTGATGAAAGAGGAAAAGTACAGGATACAGATCACAATAGCAGAAATAGCCACCGGCTACTGCTTAAGGTGCTCCAGGTACAGTAGGCAGGAAATCCGCTCTGTCGTCCTAATGAGCTCCTCGCCCGCAAGTTCCATTCGAACCCCTGCTTGCCTCAGTTTGGAACCCCTGTTCCCTTTATCCCTGCTTGTTAAACTCATAAACTCCAGCATCTGTGTTTCCAGAGCACTGAGTGTCCTGGGATCTGTGGTGAGCACTTGACACGTGCAGAAGCATCTCCAGGGTACTAACCGGCTACTCTGCCTGTCTTAAAGACAGTGAGACAGCTGAGCAGGGTGGCGAATATCATCCCTGCGCTGGGGAGGCTGAGATGGGAGGAGGCGGAGGCCAGCCTGGGCTATGTACTGAGACTCTTTCTCAAAGGGGGAAAAAAAGGACACCAGGAGCCCAAGATTGAAGGCAGCTACCTAGCAAAACAAAGCAATGGCCATGCCGAAGACTTCTCCATCTGCTGAGATCTGTCAGGGCAGTGGAGCTCCGGGCACTAACACTGCCCCGGGTAAATTCCATTGCCTTGTTGCATTTTTTCTGCCTTTTACAGCCAAAAGGATTTTGATTACCGGTACATTTCACAGGATTGAACAGGGTACAGATGAACTTGTGCCGGTTGAGCAGATGTGGAAATCTAGGAGTATAGCTCAGTTAATAGAACACTTCTATAGCATGTGACCTCCAGGGCACATCTATAATCCCAGAACTAGGGAGGCAGAAGGAGGAGGCTTGGAAGATCAAGGTCATTCTTAGCTCCTCAGGGAATTGGTGGCCAGACTAGGCTAGAGACCCAGCCTCACAACAGATGGGACTGCAGAGATGGCTCAGCAGCTAGGCACAATCCCATGCTGCTCTTGCAGAGGACCTGGGTTTCATTCCCAGCACCCATGTTGGGTGGTTCACACCTACCTGTGCCTCCAGCTCCAGGAGGATCCCATGCCTCTGGCACAAAGCCACCACCACACAAGCACTTAACTAAAAACAAACAAGAACTGGATGTGGAAACCAAGGTTTGAAAGGTAAAGATGCTGGCTCAGGACTGCACAGCCAGTTCCAGTATAATCCGGGTTTTAAACCATCTGCCCCAGACTCTTGGCTTTCTCTGAAGGTACCCCCACTCCTTTGGCAGCTACTACAGGTGACTCACACTCCACTGGCAGATGTCACGTGACCAGCAAGCTAGGGAAACCAGTCATAGCCACAACTCATGAGATTAATATGGGAGGATGTACAGGGAACCCAGTGAGAATGGGATGAGAGGATTGGTACCACAAGCCCATGTGTGCCACTGTAGGAAGCCCCTCTCCACCTCAGAAGGCACAGAATTCACCAAGGGACCCATTTTATATTTTTATTTTATTTTTTAAATATTTATTTATTTGTTATGTATACAATATTCTGTCTGTGTGTATGCCTACAGGCCAGAAGAGGGCACCAGACCTTATTACAGATGGTTGTGAGCCACCATGTGGTTGCTGGGAATTGAACTCAGGACCTTTGGAAGAGCAGGCAATACTCTTAACCACTGAGCCATCTCTCCAGCCCGGGACCCATTTTAAGGACAGGTGCTCTTGCCCCAGTTCCACCCTGAACCTGGCTCTGGAGTTCTCCAGGAGACTCTACCTCCCGACACTGTGAGAAAGCCCAGAGCTCACAGAGTGGCCTGGGGGCCTTGGCCTAGGATTTCAACCCCACCTTAGCCATCTGTGTGGTCTAAGCAATGGCTTGACCTTCCGTGCCTCAGTTTCCACACCTGACACACGGACCTAACAGTGGCTCACTTCTAAGAAGTCCTGAGAACCAGTGGGACGTGGGTCAGGCAACCCAGCTGGGACAGAACTGGCAGTTAGCAATCATTGTTCAGAAAGTACCCCCGGGATCTACTCGAGGGGCGGCCATGTCTTAGCATGGCAAGGCATGAGAGATTGGTCTTTTAGAGAAATCACTCCGTTTTCCATATTCTCCACTCAAGCTCCATCTCTGACCACTCCAAACACCTCTCGATCCTATGAAAGCTCCTGGTCCTTGCCTGCCTGCTCCTCAAGCTCTCAGATCCCCTTCTGCACTCTGCCTCATTCTCCTTGCTCTCTTTGCCCCAGGGTCTCTGCCCTTTCTCCCTATATACTGCTTAGTTCCTTTCCTTGTAGTCACCACTCAGCCCCCGCCTCCTGTAGCCACTCCCAGAGTGTCCTAACCAGTTCTGCTCCTTGTCTGGTCACAACCATACTCCTTAGCTTTACTCTGATGCCCGGTGCATCACCGTTCAAAGGCGCCTTGCTTGTACAATTGGGTCTTTGCACTCTGGGGCATTCAAATGTTCCAGTCTTGGCCAGCTCAACCCGTCAGCACCTGGGACAGCGCCAGGTGGACGCTTGTGGCTCCAGGCGGGCCCAGTGAGTGACTGGATGGGTAAATGAATGTGTGGTTCTCCCTCTGCCAGGGACCTCCTAGTTCCAGCTTTGTCTACCTCCAGAACACTGTCCCTTCCGAGTCTAATCAGATGCTTTTTTCTCCTCCGTACAATGCAAGAGCAGCTGTGACAGTGGATCTGGGCGCGGATGTCCCTGTGAGCTGTGAGAATGAATACAGCCAGCTCCCCATGGCTGACGCTTCATACCTTGGGTTTCAGCCAACCACAAACAAAAATCACCTGGGAAAAATGCATCTATAAGAAACATACACAGGATCCCCCCGCCTTGAATTTTCAGTTTTCGCACTGCGTTAGGGCCTAAAGTCTTTTAGAGAGAGCTGCAGAACTCGTGAGGGAGTTCAGTGCAAATACCGCATTTCATACATGTGTTGGGTCACAAGGGATGCTGGACCCCACCACTGTGGCATACTGAGAGACTAATAGATGGGCATTATGGCTGTCAACACTAACAATGCCATTTTGAGCTCCCGAGCCATGCTCAGCACTATTTCCTGCTCCTGGCTTAGAATGTGTCCGGGTCTGTATGTTCCAGAGGACGGGAGTGTGGATTGAGGGAAGAAATACATAAGAGTCAACAGATAGAGTTGGGAGGGCGTCCAGTGGATATTGTGGCCAAAAGCAAAAAGCCAAAATCCCTGAGTTTATTATTCACAGCCTTTACATAATGCAAACAAAAGGAGGAGGACACAAGACTCCATGATACAAAGGGCAAGCAAGCATAATCACCTCCTTACATCTCAGAACAGCTGGTAACCACGCCCTAATTCAAAACGTCCTGTTGACTGGCCTTTGAAGAGTAAGGCGTCCAATAGCCACACCTTTGATCAAACATTTTGTTGTTCGTCCTTGAGGAGCGAGAATGGGCCTGAACTCTGACAGTTAGGATGGAACTGTGGGCCCTCACAAGAATGGGATGGTCTATGCACGTCCCTGCCACACCCTGTGGCTTGTGATAATGTGTCACTTAGTAGCTGCCCTGTGGACTGGACCATGTTGGATTGATCCATTCCTTTATTTAACTAGCACCACTCCATGACTTAGAAGCCCTTTTAATCCATTTTACACATGGTAAGACTGAGTTCAGAGAGCAATGGCTTCCGCTGGTTACACCGGCTGTTTGCAAGATAACTGGAGTTTGAAACAAGGGTGATTGACTTCCAAAGCATGCCAGCCTTCTGAGTCCTGGGCACAGCCCAGCACATTGAGCTTATACGTATTTATGAAATGCAAAGGAAGAAGGGAAAGGGTACAGAAAAGTAACCCCAAACTCCGGACTCTCGGCAGGCAGTGTCTTTAGAACATTACAGATGCAGCCCGTCTGTTGATCGAAGCACCACCGAGATCGAAGTCTTCTCTGATCTGGCACTGAAGCATGGCTCCCTCCTGAGCATCCCTGCTGTATGTGGGCATGCAGGACCTGAGCTTCTGAGCCCATGGGGCCAGAAGGGGGAGGGGAAGAACTGCGGCTGGGTGGAGATGACGTCAGACCCCCGGGTGTAGTCGGTACTGGTCAGTTCGTGAGTCTGTCGCCCATGCCAGCCTTGTGAAATCCTGATCATTGAGCTCCCAGACCAGGGTTCAGATCCCTATGCTACAAGCTGTGCTGCACAGCCTTGAGCAGGTCACAGGTGACAAAGCATCCAACCTCAGATGGCCGTGAGTCAAATGGAGGGTGCTGAGAGCCAGGCACTGCCTAGGGCAGTGTGCACACATCACGTATGGCTTCCAACCCCACAACAGTCATGGAGTAGTTTCATGACTCCCTCCAACCAGGGAGGAAGGAGCACAGGAGCAAAACAGGCTAAGTGTGCAAACCGAAACCACAGATGTGGATCCATAAGTTGCCCCAGGGTTGTGCTTTCTCTTTTATTCTTTTGGCTTTTTGAGGGGCCCAGCACCCAGCTCTCAAATAAATCATACAAGAGGCTTATTCTTAGTTATGAATGGTCGGCCTTAGCTTGGCTTGTTTCTTGCCAGCTTTTCTTAACTTAAATTATCCCTACTACCTTTTCCCTCTGGGCTTTTTCCTTCTCTTACTTCTGTATCTCTTACTTTCCTTCTTACTCTGAGGCTGGTTGTGTGGCTGGCCCCTGATGTCCTTCTCCCCTTGTTCTCTCATAGTCTCTCTGCCTGCCAGCCCTACCTGTCCTCTCCTGCCTTGCTACTAGCCATTCAGCTCTTTAGTAGGATCATCAGGTGTTATAGACAGGCAAAGAGTCCAGCTTCACAGAGTTAAACAGATGCAGCATAAACATACATCACACACCTTACAATAATATCCCCAACACCCTGGGGTCTGCCCTTGAGGGAGGGAATTGCACAGAAGTCATGTGAGCTGCCTGGGTCACACAGCTGCTCAGGGAGAGCCAGGGAGCGAGACCCAGCTAGATTTCAAAGTTTCCCTGAGATAGCAGGGAGCATGAAGGAGGGACATGCGGAGGGTTGTGTGACCCTGTTCAGGAACAGCAGGGGAGCCCACTCCTCATCTCCACTGGTGGAAGATGCAGAAGCAATAACTGCAGTGGACAGTCTGCCCAGGTGCCTGGGATTGCACATCACTGCATGTAGAAATTATTGAGTCCCATTTCACACAGAGAACCAGAGGATCAGAGCTCATGTAAGAAAAGCTGGGCCTGTAGCACTCAATCTGAGCACTGGGGAGGAGAGACAGGCAGGTCCCTGGGGCTCACTGACTGGCCTACTAGGTGAGTTTCTGGCCAGTGAGGGACCCTGTCTCAAAAGCAAGGTGGAAGACACCTGAGGAGCAGCACCTGATTCCAGCTACGGTGTGCACATGAGTATGGAAATACTCACCCCACACGTGTGCACGCACACACACATGCATGAATGTTCACCCAACACGCAAATATACACACACGATGTGTACATGTGTATGGAAGTGCTCATTCCATACACGTGTGCACATAGATGCACAATACACACAAATACACATACACACGCACGTATACCTGTGAACATACAATCACACAATACATACTGTTCATGTAAATATATGCACACTTATCTCCACTCATCCATTTATTCCATTTGTAGGGGCCACACGCTCTGTCCAGTGTCCTCTTTTCATCTCATTTGGTCACATGATCATCAGCTCTGTTGGTTTGGAGCCTCCCTCCTCCAGCTGACCTCATCACCTGATCAGGGGCAGTGTGGCCATCTGTCTGTCACAGGCAATATTCTGAGGTGTTGGGCTTAAGACTCTGGTGTCGCTCTTGGGCAGGGGCTGTGTGTAAGACACGGGTCACCTCAAGGCACCCAAGGTAGAATGTCTGATCCCACTTGCTAGAGCCCAGTTCTGTGGATGGGCACCACACTCCCGGATCTGGCTGACTCTGGCACAGTGGGAATCTCAGAAGTCTGTTCCCAACAGTACAGAAGAAAGCGGGCAAACCTGCTCGTGCTCGACCACCCTCTTAGCAGACAGCCTCCGTCAGAGAGGGGGAAATTCCATGAATTAATGAGAGCAGAAGAATGTGTGGAGAGGGGATTCAGCGCAGTGAGAGGCCGCATGCCAGATTCCAGGCTGGACATGGTGCCAGCCCGGCCCCTTAGTATTTCAGCGGTCTCTGGGGTGCTGGAGATGCTGTGGATGGTGTGAGCTCAGCCTTTAATCCCCCTTCATGTGGCCTGTGATACTGTGTCCCTGTTTTACGTACCTGAACTCCCCTGCCTCTGAGAAGGGTTTGTCACCACTGCGATATGTGAGCACAGGTCCTGGGAAAGGCTGAGGGAGGTTCTGGGGTTGTCGTGCACAAGACTGAGCTCAACCTTGGCAGCGCTCTGATAGTCCAGGAATCAGGACCAGATAGGCTGCCAGGGAGAGGACTCCTGGTCCTGCTCAGGGGAGGTAGGAAAAGTAACTCAGCTTGCGTATCCTGACATTGACTTCACAGGGCAGTGGTGTGTGACAGGCCTGTGTTCAAATCACAGAGGACCTTGTGTCACCGTTCTGTTGACAGATGAGGAAACAGACCTTCAAGTGTCCCTTCAACAAGTAGAGGACATCTCAGTTTAATGCTAGCCTGGGGAGGCCCGGGTAGAGTCACGCAGCATCCAGTAGTCCAGCTAGACCCCTGGGTTCCATCCCCCACACCACACCATACCAACTGAGAAAGGAGTCTGCCACAGTGAGCATTCCATTTCAAACTAAAAGTCCCGATTTGGAGGGCGAAGGACACATGATCCCACCAGGATTGTCTAGTCCCCCACCCTGGTGTATGAGCAGGATGGAGAAACCCCCAGAATCTTGCCTCAGGGGGTAGCATGCCAGAAATGGCAGCTTTGGAGGAGATGAATCTGATCTGGGGTTTAGTCTGGGACCTTTCTTGTGGTCTTTCAGCAAGTCAGTGAGCTTCAGCATCAGGTTCTGGGGAGTGTCCTCCTGCCTCCCACGCCGCTGGGCTGCAGAAAAGCTCTGATACCTAGGCTGCAACACTTCTTAATTCTCTCCTCCCTCTCCCTCCTTACTCTCTCTCCCACTTCTTCATTGTTCCACAGCCCCCCCCCCCCATTTATTGCTTCCCTGCACAGACTGAACTTGATACCAGCTGTTGTCATCTTTGGTCTTTCAGAATGCCAGCGTCATGAGCCAGGGAAGGCAGGAGACTGCCAGCTTTAATCCGTAAGAATTCGGGGCAGGGGCCTCATGCCCTGACTTGACTTCAGCAGGCTGGTAGATGGGCAGGGCTACCAACCCTAACTGGGTTAGGGAACCAGTTGGGAGGCAGAGGCAAGAGGATGTTAGTGTCCTGATGATTGACTCTCTGTCTATAAAATGGATCCCAGTGGGATTGGAGAGGTAGCTCTGCAGTTAAGAGCGTACACTGCCCATGTATAGGACATGAGTAGTGTTCCCAGCGCCTGCATCAGGCAGTTCACAACCTCCTGTAACTCCAGGGGATTCAAGCCCCCTTCTGACTTTCCAGGCATCCGTGCACACACACACACACACACACACACTTTTAAAAGAAATGGGTTCCTAAGGAGCCTGTAAATTTAGAGTTTCAAATGTTAGGAAGGCTGAGATCGTGTTTCCGTGGTAGAGTGCTGACCGACTATGTGTCAGGCCTGGGTTTTACCTGAAACAGAAAAATAAACAAGCAAAGGCCCAAATGAAGCATGTGGCTGACCCTGTCCTGTGCCCGTAGCGCCCTGTCGGCTGAGATTCTGTCTGAGATGGGAGGCATTTATTATGTCCAAAAAGAACAAAGACCAGTGGGACCCTCCAGATTTGTCACGAGCGATGGGCTCACAGGATGCGGGGAGGGGACACGCTGGGGCGGCAATACTCCCTTTGAAATTAGACTGTTCTTGTGAAGGAAGTCCAAGTTGCCAGGATGGAGACTGACAACAACCACATATGGTGAAGGACTGTCTTCTGCAAGCCCTGCCCCTCAGTACAAGGACAGGGATTGCTGCTTGTTTAACCTGGGCAGTCCCCTAGGAAGAGAAGTGTCAAATGACATTGAGGTTCTCCTGGTCATTCCCTGGGACCCAGCTGGATCCTTTTTCCCCAAGGGAAAGGGCAGGAAGAGCCGGTGTGGGTCCCAGAGACCCGCAGGTGAATCTTCGTCCAGCATTCAGTCTCTCCTCTCCAGGCCTTTGTCTCCCAGAGTGCAGGCACGTCCCAACCATCCAGAAGCAGGATCTGGAGCCAGGCTGTGCGTGTCCAACTCTGGCTTCGTTTATACATGCTGTGTTACCCTGAGCAGATGATGTCCTCTCTGGACTGCAGACTAGAGATGCTATCCTCACAGAGTCTGGGTGAGGACTCAGTAGGTTGTGCATGGAAAGCACTTACTGTAGCTTGAGTCCAGGTGTTAAAGTGAGGAGAGAGTCTGCACAAACTGTAAAGTGCCATCTTTGTGTGTGAGTTCCTGGTTGACATAAAGAAAAGCCATGTGTTCACAGTTAATAACTGGATGGTTCTTAGCAGTCATCTGAAGTGATTCGCGGGTGGAAGCATCTACCCAGCTCCACCATGGATATAAAGTGTAAAGTGTGCCCTGCCCAGTGAGCGGCCAGATTCTCACCCTGCTTAGCAGAACATTGCGCCTAGTACATACAGGACAGGACAGTAGGAACATTTGTGAGTCATTCCACTCCAGCTGGTTGTAGTTTCAGCCCACAATCAAGGAAAGCAAGGCTTCGGCAAGGTCACCCCACCTAAGATCAGAACTGGGGAATTACAGAGTGAAATGTGGTCTGAACCTCAAACCGTCCAAGTACAGCAAGACCCTTGAGGCTGCCCACAGAAAGGAGCATGCCTTCCAGACCTTCCACAGCTGCTAAAACAGGCCTTATCCTGGGTGAGTCAAGCTCCTTCTAGGATAGGGATGTGGCCCCAGTGGCCAATGTCACCAGGAGACTGCTGGACTTGGCTGTGGCCCAGAAAAGGGAGTCCTTCCTGTGCCCTGGTCATCAGGGCCTGCAGCCTCACCCACTGGGGCCCACTGCCCTCATCGGCCAGCGTCTGGCATTTCCCATCTCCTGTTTGTACCCTGAGGACAGAATCAGGCATTACATATACACTTGGCAAAGCCACACAGGGAGGGGCCTCCTGCAGACCCCCACCTTCATCTCCCTTCTTCCTCTTTCCCCATAGCCAAGTACATCGGCTGCTACCTGGACAACATCCAGAGTCGGGCCCTGCGAGGAGTATCGTTTTTTGACTACAAAAAGATGACAGTCTTCCGTTGCCAGGACAACTGTGCTGAACGGTAGTGACCTCCACCCTACCGCCTCTACCATGTTCCCAGACGTGTCCATTCCAACTCTTTCCACCCAGGGTTCCCTCCATGGTATCCTTGGCCTTGTGGAAAGACGGTCAGAGGGTGGGCAAGGGCTGTAGAAACAAAGGATTGCAATCCTGATTAATGTGCATGCATGTATATTTGTGTATGTTCATGTGTGTCCACATAAGCGGGTGTCTACACACATCTAAAATGTATATATACATGTTTGTGCATGTGTGGTGTGCATACGTGTTCACATGCTTGTGTGTACACAAAGATTCATGTGAATGTGGTCTGTGGGAGTATGACTGCAGCTGTGTGAACTGTGCTGGGGAGGAGGTGTGTGAGGTGTGGTGTGCACGGTCAGCTGTGTGAACTGTGCTGGGGAGGAGGTGTGTGAGGTGTGGTGTGCACGGTCAGCTGTGTGAACTGTGCGGGGGAGGAAGTGTGTGAGGTGTGGTGTGCACGGTAAGCTGTGTGAACTGTGCTGGGGAGGAGGTGTGTGAAGTGTGCACGGTCAGCTGTGTGAACTGTGCTGGGGAGGAGGATGTGAAGTGTGGTGTGCACGGTCAGCTGTGTGAACTGTGCTGGGGAGGAGGCTGTGAGGTGTGGTGTGCACCATCAGCTGTGTGAACTGTGCTGGGGAGAAGGATGTGAGGTGTGGTGTGCACAGTCAGCTGTGTGAACTGTGCTGGGGAGGAGGATGTGAAGTGTGGTGTGCACGGTCAGCTGTGTGGTATGGTGTGCACGGTCAGCTGGTTACTTTGGCGAGTGTAGTCCTGACACCTGACCATCTCTAAGAAACAGTCCTTGTGTGATCGCAAGTCTTCTCAATCTCTTGTCTCCGGCTCCAAGTGGCTGGGATTGCAGGCCTGTGCCATCATGCCTGGCTTTAAACTGCATCTAAGAGAGCAGTGTACAGACGCCCTGTGAACTCCCAGCTCTTCCAAGCCAGGGGGCCAACTGGCAATACAAGCCCATTCACCAGCTGGAAGCCATTGAGTCCTCTCTAGAACCATGCCCCTCCTCCTCAACCTTCATCCCTTCTGTCTCTGAGTTACAGGCTGTCCCTTGTTTCAGAATCAGTAACGCACTTTCCTTGGGAAATGTTGCTTCTGTCTGTGGGTTCCGCTGTCGGAGAGGGGCCCAGGGATGTCTGAGAAGCAGGCTCAGAGCGACAGGGACAGGGAGACAAGTAAGGTTCCAAGATGCTCAGTCATGTCTGCTGTTCTTGCCTCCCAGAAAAAGCAGGCAGACGGGGAAAGGCCAACGCCACCTAGTCACCGGGGTCTGTGCAGGCACAGATCTGGTGGCTCTGTTCATCCGCCAGCACTGAGTAGGAGGCAGCCATAGCCACTGACAGTTCCTTTGGGAACAGGTTTTTGCAGGTCTCTCTCTGAGGAGCCCCCATGGCTCTGGAGACTGTCTCTGGGAGCATGGTGGTCAGGGGGCTGACAAGACCTCCCCGTCCCCTTCTCCAAGTCCTCAGCCACAGCCCACAGCCTCCCTTAGACTGTGTTTAGACTGGTGTCCACTGAGTGTCCTTTTTAGGGAAGAATTTCACGGCAAGGAAACAAATAGCATCTCCTCAGAACTCCTGGAATTTTGTTTTGCTTTGTTTTCGGGGAAGAAATTTTTTCTTGGCTGGGAGTGTGAGCTTGGCTTTATAGCCTGCCAAAGGGGTGCAAGCACCCTGCCTCCTCCCCTTCCCCAGTGCTTCTCAGGGGACTTGGCAATGTAGGTGTCTCTTTGGGTGATGTTTTGTGGAAGGCAGAAGTTGGGGCCTGCAGTGCTGAGAGAGGACTGGAGGAGGGGTGGGGTGTGTGTGTGTGTGTGTGTGTGTGAGAGAGAGAGAGAGAGAGAGAGAGAGAGAGAGAGAGAGAGAGAGAGAATGCTTGAGTGAATACGTGTGTGCACATGAGTGATTGTGTGAATTTGTACTTGTATGTGTATGAGTTAATATGTGTATATGAGTGAATGTGTATGAGTATATGAGTATCTGTGAATGTATGAATGTGTGTGTATAAGTGAATCTGTGTGTATAGAGTGAATTGCATGTTATGTGTGAGTGTGTTAATATGGAATTGGGAAGTGTTATGGGGATACAGCACGGCAGGCAGTGATGAGGGCTGGTGGGTATCCCCAAGATGTTCTCCCTGTCCCCAAGGGGGTCTCTGAATTTCTTCCCCCCTCCAGGTGCCTCAGGCCCACTGACTCCCCACCCTCTGTGACTCCCAACCGGTTGTCCTTCCCTTTGGAGTAGTTATGACCCCCCATTCCTCCTCCAAGCTCCCCGCCTCTCCAGCCCCTTTGTCCCCTTTCTGAGGTCTCCTGTGCTCTCACTCCTTGGTCTCCATGCCTCGTGGAGACTCTGTCCATCTCCTGTACCCCAAAGTCTCCCGGTCCTGTTACCTGAGGGTGTCTCCCATCCCCTGGGGTCTCCCTGGCCATGTGGTCCTGCCTGATACCTGCCTCCCCCAGGGGCTACCTGTATGCTGGGCTGGAGTTCGGCGCCGAGTGCTACTGTGGCCATAAGATCCAGGCGGCCAACGTGAGCGAAGCCGAGTGTGATATGGACTGCAAGGGCGAGCGAGGAAGCGTGTGTGGTGGGGTCAACCGCCTCTCAGTCTACCGCTTACAGCTGGCCCAGGAGTCTGCCCGCAGGTGTACGTGAGTCCTCCCCTCCCCTCTCCTCTGCTGGAGCATACTAGCCCTCCACTGCCCACTACTCTCATCTTCAATGTCTGCCCTGTGCCGTCTATGACGCCCCATCACCCCGAAGCCACCATAGGCTTCCCCTCCCACCCCGGCGTCCACTCCAGCCACTCAACGTTCCTGTGTCCCTGCTCTCCTCTGCCCTGAGGCTGAACCTGATCTTGGCCTGTCTCTTCTGAGATAGAGCACAAAGCCTTTGTCCTTTCCCGAGCACTTCATGCCATCTTCACAGTGGCCTTGGAAGTAGGCACAAGGAAAGCCGGACCTCGTGGCACAGGCCTGACATCCCTGCTGCTGGGAAGGCTGGTGGGAGATGATTCCAAGTCAAGACCAGCCTGGGCTACAGAGAGAGTTTGAGGCCAGCCTGGGCTACATAGTGAGAACCAGTCTCAAAACAAGTTAAAGGGGTGGGAGGGTGTTGGTGATGTAGCTCAGTGGCAGAGCACTTGCCTGTCATGCACAAGGCCCTGGGTTCAATCTCCAGGACCACAAAATAAAAAGAAATGGAAGAGGGAAAGGAAAGGAGGGAGGATGGGCAAGCCTGAGGCATTGCTTTTACTTGCTTCCATTTGAGACCAGAAACCCATTGCAATGCCACAACTCTGAGCAGTGGGGGACTTTCTTTAGCTCTGCTGACTTCTCAGAGCTCCCCTGAGCTTGCCAGTGTTCCCGGCTTGGTAGTTTGCAACCAAGGAGAGCAGGTGGTGGGAGAGGCAGGAGACATCTTTGTTGCAGCCGCTGTCCCACAGCCCCTTCCTAAGCAGGGGGTGTTGAGTTCTGGTTCTTAGCTGCTTGTCAAGAGTCCTCTGGTAACCAGGTGCTAAGGTCAGGCTCGACTCCATGTCTCCTCCCATAGCCTTTCCCAGGAGTTGCCACTGGCAACCGTTGCTATCCACAGCGAGGGGATGAGGCTTTATGCATTGAAGGACTTTTGCCAAGGCCCGCACAGGCTGGAAGAAAAACCACAAGGGCTTCGCCTTCGTCAGGGTTTCTATTGCCGTGATAGACCCCATGACAAAAACCGACTTGGGGAGGAGAGGGTTAATCTCACTTCCACCTCACCGTCCATCATCCAAACTGTCAGGCTCTTCTCAAGGCAGGAACTGAAGCAGAGGCCATGAAGGAACACAGCTTATTGGCTTAGTCCTCATGGCTTTCTCACCCAGCCTTCTTATACCACCCAGAACCATCAACCCAGGGCTGGGCCCCTCCCACGTCAGTCATCAACGAAAGTACAGCACAGGCAGACCAGATGGGGACATTTTCTCAACTTAAATTCTCTTCCAAACTGACTTGAGCCTGTGTCAAGTAGACATAAAACTAGCCAGGCACAGGCTCCTGAGGCTCATCAGCCAGGTTCCACTTCAGACTTCGTGAAATGGAGTAGTTCCTGTCTGTGTCACTTTTCTCCTGCTGTGGTAAAACACTACGGCCGAGGCAGCATGGAGAAGGAAGAGTCTGTTTGTGCTTGTGGTTCTAGAAAGAGAAAAGCATGGAGCCAGGAGCAGAAGGCTGAGCAATCACATCTCAGCCACAAGCATGAAGCAGAGAGCAAACAGAGATAGCACCAGGCTTTGAATTCTCGAAGTCCAAGGCTGGGCGTGGTGGCGCACGCCTTTAATCTTAGCACTCAGGAGGCAGAGGCAGGCAGAGCCTCTGAGTTTGAAGCCAGCCTGGTCTACAGAGTAAGTTCCCAAATAACCAGGGCTGAAACCCTATCTCAAAAATAAACAAAGAAACAGAAACAAACAAACAAACAACAACAACAACAACAAAAAACCTCTCAAGGTTCATCCCCAGTGACATACTTCCTCAAGCAAGGCCATACCTCCCCAGAACCTCCCCCAAACAGCACTAGCTGAGGAACTAAGTCTTTAGATGCCTGAGATGATGGAGAACATTTTTCATTCAAACTACCATGATGTTGTTTGATTTTGATTTTGGCTTTTGCAATGGTGGGGAATGGAACCCAGGATCTCAAACATGTTAGATAACTGCTCTCCACACCCCTATCTTCATCCTTAAACAGTCTGTAGCCCAGGCAGCCTTGAACCTGTGAAGCCACTGTCTCAGTCTCCAGAGTAGCTGGAATGACAGGTCTGAGCTACCAGACACAGCTGGGTTCTACACCCCTAGAATACCCACAGGCTATTCCAGGCTGCTGATCTATAGCCCCCATCCTTGGTACACTGAGGCAGGAATACACAGCTGAGTTTGGCAGGAGTGGGGACAGGGTGTCTTCTCTGAGGCTGTCTCTATGACAGTCTGTCACTGGGTGGTATGCGCAGGGCTTGAGATCCTGAGCTTTGGTGGCCTCCTGTAGCCAACAGGGTTGTGCTTGTCACCAGTTGGCAAATGCACTGCCTACCCCATTTGGTTCATGTCTGAAGATCCAGCTGGCAGAGGGCAGAGGGAGGAAATCTCAGCTGGAGAAAAACCTGTGCAGTGGGCTTGGGTCTGGCCATTGGCGCAGCAAGGTTCTAAGTAAGTCCCAGATTTCTCATCCTCATGACTGACTTCATTTGTACTGATAGCAAGTTGTTAAAATGGTAATATGTTGGCCATCTGAATGGGTGGCCTCAAAGTGTTGCAATCACCTAGAGAGGATGCTGCTGCTGCTGCTGGTTGTGGATGCTCCTGGGATGGGTGGGAAAGATTTAGGTTGTGTGTCTTGCTAACTAAATAATCTGAAACACCACGACCCCTAATTCTCTGGTGTAACACTTAAACCAAAAGCTTCTCAATTGGATGAGATATATAACACACACAGGTGATGGGGATCTCTTATGTGAAGTGGTCTTTACACATGGAGGGAGGACTGGCTGGCAGGGAAGCATCCTCCCTACTCAGCCTGCCCATCTCTGTGATAGTAAAAGTGCCCTGAGTGTGGCATCATACTGCCTGAGAAAAGCATCCTTGTGTTGTATCATGTCCAAAGGGAGATGGGGTCATTTCTACCGAGAGAAGAGCTCTATACCCTCTGCTCACCGGACTGTGGTACGCAAGGAATGAAGCCATCCGCCGGAGAACTAAAGGAAAGCCCAAGCCTCGAGGCTGCTTCCCTTGAGACTAGACTGAAGGTGGTGTGGGCAAGAAGACAGGAGGTTGACCAGATGTCCAGCCAGGATGCCTTCTAGGCTCCCACTCAGCAGTCAGCAGTGTGGCATATGGAAAAGCAGTTCACTGTGCACTTTGATGTAGCTGCAGCGTGGGAGGTGGAGCCTCTGTTCCAGGGAAGCCACAATCCTGGGGTAGCAATTGGATGCCAGTTGGGAGTAAGCAGAGGCAGCCTGAAGGAGCCAAGGGGACACTTGAGTGGAATCCTCTTCTGGGGGAGAGTCTAGGTGAGCCAGAAACCAGCATTCAGCCAGAAGCAACAGTCCAGATTCAGCTAATGTCTCGTTGGAATAATCTTCCTCATCTGTCTCCATTGTACGCTGTGGAAACTGATATACAGAGAACAGAAATGACTCCATGGGAAACTCTGGCAGACATCATAGAAGGCAGCACATTTGGTGGGGATCCTCAAATGGTGGATAAAGCTTTCTCTAGTAAAGAAGGAAAGAGCACCCAGATCTGAGACACATTACCAAGGAACATGGGGGAAATCTTGGCAAAGAGGTCTAGACCTGAATAGGCCTGGACGCACACCGGGAGGCGTGACCGGCATGTCTTTCCAGTGCCATGGTGCCATCCGTGGATGGCGAATGCCTGGAATGGGTTTCTGACTCCCATTTGGAACATCGCTTCTATAAGGTTTCAGTTTTGCCTAACTTCTTTCTCCCTTAATCCCTCACCCCTGACCCGTTTCCTGTCTCCTGGCTCTATTGCCTTTGCCCCGACTCCAAAGCACCCTTGACTCTCATACCTGGGATCTGCTTTAGCCGTAAACAACTAAGATAGGTGTGTCGTCCGAGTCACTGGCTCACGACCAATAGCACAGGTTACATAGGTGAAGAAGCAAGTGACCTTTCCAGGAAATGGAGAGGGCAGAAACAAGGCTCCATTTGCAGAGTCTCTTGAGAAAACACACAGAACACTTCCATTCAAGATTCCACGGGGCATTTATTCCCTGAGCATCATACGGATGAACCTGTGAGGGGGTCGCTTGTTCCTGCAGCAAGCAGTGAGGATATTCAGCGGTGCCCTGCCATTCTGTCTTAACATAGGCTCTGGGGCACTTGATGTCAAAGAACCAAGAAATGGACTATTTTCTTGGTGAGGTTGCGTTTGTCACACCAGTTTGCTAAACGTGCCGTCGAGTTCAGCTCTCTCCCCGAGGGACGGGCCAGCTGGTGGTTGGAGACGCTGTGATTAATTAGGAGGTCACAAGGGGCTGCGTTTGCCTGAAAGATGCTGGGTTCGGGTGGAGAAGATGCTGAGAGTTGTGCTGAGCAAGGGGAGTTCCCAGGGTGCCTTGTGTGTGGCTGTCCACGGTGCTGACCGCCCTCTGGTGCAATTCAAACCCGTGACTGTCACCCAGCTTTCCCTGGGCTCAGTCCTTTCGTCTACCTTGCTCCTCCCCCCCACCCCTCCTCGACCCCGCTAAGGTTCCTACTTTCACCTTTCCTCCCCTTCTCCTTCTTAATGAGTCATTATGAAATTCACAATAACCCTGAAGAATCCCGCAAATACCTGCTAGCTTGGGTAGTGAATTCTGTCCATGATTGTTAGCTCAGGAGACTCCCATCTTTGAGAGTCTGAAGGAGAATTCTGTGAGGTTTTTGTTTTCTGGTTTCCGCTCACTGGTACTTCCTTCCTGATACTCCTACCTTCAGCTTGTCCAGGAAACTTGTGTCTCTTTGGACGGACCTTGCCAGCTCCGTCTCTGCCAGAAGCTAACATATGGCACTGGTGACTCTTGCACTCACAGGAACCAGTACTGATCGTAACAGGTGGACTCGGCTGGAGCGTCTCTAAGCAAAATTCATGAAGGCAGGCAGGCAGGCAC